GAAAAGTTGGGACCACCTCGGGCCTGGGTCGGCGGGGCTCGGGGTACACACCACGTCGCTTGGTCGACCAGGGGTCCGAGGAGCTTGACGTAGGAGCTTGGCGAATTGACGCTCCAGCGTCCCGCAGGTTGGGAAGCTGGGGCGTTTATGCTTGGGATGAGTGACCTGCTGGTTTGTGCAATGGTAATGACTGCTGTCTGCCTGCGCAGTTACAAGCTACCCAAACATGAATAACCACCACTGCGTCATCTACATGATGGTTGGCCAGTTCTGCAGACGGTGAGGATCCCCGCCCCGCTAAGCACCATTGGACATTACGAAATAGTAGTTAGGGAATTCGAGATCGTACCTAGATGATGTTCCAACCTGATTTTAAACACTGGTTCAGCCACCAATGTCCTAGCTACTATTCCAGATATTCAAATTTTCACAAAGCTCCTTGGCCGACCAGACGACTTGATGTACACTTCGAGCCCTTCCCACAACGAGCTACCTCTGCCAATGCCTAGGGGGGAGCAGGAGGATGAGGACATATTGAGGGAGGGGTGGAGGAGGGGTGGGAGGAGGAGGAGGAGGATGAGGAGAATCTTGGGGACTATTGCTAAATCGCGTAGCGATGTTAATCAACTATGCCGCCACAACCTCACTGTGGATTGCTTCGCTGCACTTCTGGGCACGCTCAGCTCGACTGAAGACCTTAGGCCAAAGGTTGGCATGGATTCGACGTCAGACACTCCTTACCCGTTGAGGTAGGGTCGGCACAGGGGTCCCCCGACTTGCCAAGGAGACGGTTGGCGATACACCCACAGTGCGAAGACAGCCACAATTTAAGCCCAGCGTGGAACCTTCTCTCCGATGTGACACACGAACCACCCCCCCCCGTCACAAGGACCTGTGCCATCTGCATGTACAAGGTCATGAGCTTCAGTCTGAAGCCACTGGGTTCGCGTGCACTTGCTGGCAGAGTTGTTGTATCTGGTGCAACGGTGTCCTTCAGGGTCTATACGTATGCACGGGGGGAAAACGCGCAGGTGGCGGGGGCAGGCGGTCTGGCATGAGCCAGGTTCCTACAACGCTCGTGTGCTCTCACTCCGAGCTTGATCTGTTCACTCTCAAACTCCACTGTCTCGAGTGCTGCTCGCACCAATCTCATTACCACAGGACATGCTTTCTGTTCGACAAGTGCATACTGTTGCCTGATGTATGTCGGCAACCTCTCAGTGTCTGCAGCTCCGCCTGCGAGAGTATCGGCGACAGTGTTCCCGTATGCTAGGGTGCCTGAGATGCGTCCACGATGTTTTGGGCGGTCATGTGCGATCGTACACATAGCACTGTGATCTGGCCTTCCTGGCCGCACAAGGCCCCTCGAAGCCTTGTCGACAAGTCAGCATCCACCCCATGGAGTGATTCAACATATCCGATGTAGAAATTCAAGTATACGCCTTCACTGTCTGTAAACTAAACCATCTCACCAACTGTGCATTCAACAGGCAGGATGAGAGCAAGCCGTTCTCCTCGAACAACAGGTTGCCTCGGACCTGGCGTGGCGCCACAGACGGCACCCTTGATCTCCATTCCATTGCGGTCCAGATCAGAAACAAATAGAGGCCGATCTCAGCCCTGCTGAGTGGGGTAGAGGCGATATCTCCTCCGCTCGCGTCGCCGAATACGTAGCTGGGTTCACTGCTATAAGATCCAAAACAGCCATGTGAATACTCCTGTACACCGAACGTGCTCCACGATTCTTGGTCGGATGGTGTGGCAGCGCGGTCCAATGCTTGGGCACGATTCCTTGGGTCCAACAACATTCATGCGAATGCTGCTGTGCTGCAGCTCCTGGTATGAAATAATCGGTAGCATCATAAATGGCGCACGTCTTGCGTGCGCTGCACTCCCACGTTCGATGGACATCCGTTTCAGGTGCGTGGCCGCACTTGTCGCATATGTCGTCTGTGTTTTGGTTCTTGACCTCAGCCTGCAACCTGGTTTTAGGCCACATGGCCCCGACTGCGATGGTGAGCATGAGGGTTGCGAGGCGGACTCCATCCTTCATGCTGCTGAGGTAGCGGAGCAGGCGTCGGTAGGAGTGATTGTCGATACCCTCCTGCATGCCCTCTCCGCCGTGGTGTTTGCTGGCCTGCTCACAATACCTCCTCTGGACGCTGTCGCCGATGTCGGTGAGGAGCTGGATGGGGATGTCAGCATCAGGGATGCTTGTGAGGCGGTCGGCCTGGAACTCCCACGTGTCGGTGTTGTCGGCCATTTCAGGTGGTAGCCTCCATTCGTTGGCCTGCACGGGGTCCCATCTGTTCTCCATGAGATACAGGATGATTGTAGACTGTGGCCCCCGTATGTGTCGCACCCGCTGGGCCATGACGATTTCGGCCCAGGTATGTTGAATGGTCCTCTGGAGGGGGCTTGCTGCGATCCATATGCTGAGCCACGCCTGGGTGGCCTCGTGTGGGAAGCGCCTGGGAAGGTCACGCTGAGCGGCTTCGAGGTCGAGCAGCGTGGTGAGACACCGTCCCTGCAGCCTGGGTCCCACAGCATCGCCTAAGCGCCGCCGCACGTTGGTGATCCTCGTCTCAAATACGCCGTGTACCTGATGTGCGTATTC